TGTGTGTGGGTGTGTGTGGGTGTGTGTGGGTGTGTGTGTGGGTGTGTGGTGTGGGTGTGTGGGTGCGGTCATGGGGGTGCCCGCGCAGGTTCATGTGGGCGAAGGAACGCTTGTGGAAGCTTAAGGCTAGTGTGGGGAGCCCTCACCCTCGGCTCTTCCTCTTTAGTCAGTGAGGCGGGGTCTCTCCCTAGGGAATCCCTGTCCCTGCCTTCTGAAGCTGGAATTAGGCCAGCCTCCACACCCCTCAAACGTTTCCATGACCACTGGGGATCCCAACTCCAGTTCTCATGGTCGCACAGCAAGAGTGTAGCCTCTCTGAGCCGTCCCGCGCCCCACTTTTTAAATGTTTAGAGGGGACTGGCGACCATACAGACATCTCTGGAGCAGTGAAGGGTAAGAAAGCTCCGGGAGCCAGAGGCTTGACACGCAGAGGTCATTTCTCCGCAGCAGCATGGGGTGTGCTCAGCCTGTTTATGAGAGGCTGAGGAAGGAGTTCTCATGGGAAGCTGGCTGGTTCCCTGTGAGGAGGCGGAGAGGGGCTGGAAGTAGAAAAACTGAGAGATGAAGTGTGTTCTTTGAATTCTGGAAGCCTGAAACCGCGCCAGAGCTCACGGTAGAACTAGGGTCCCGCTGACACCAGCTAGCCGCAGAGGGTTCTCAGGGGGCAAGGAAGGAAGTCTAAAGTTTCTCTTCTGGGGACTTGGAGTTAGGCGGAAAAAAGTGCTAAGAGAAGCCCCAGTTTGGCGTGGGCGGCAAACAGGAAGCAGGGACAAGAAGCGAGTGAGGAGCTGGGCTCACTAGGAGGAAGCTCCTTGCTGCAGAGCAGAGGCTATCACCAGAGGCTGTCAGGACCAGACTGCACTGAAGTTTTCCGGAATCCTGTTCTGTTTGAGGAAATGATTGCAGAATCAGGCCCACTGTTTTTAAAAGGACATAGACTGGGACTGGAGACATGGCTCAGCGGCTGAGAGCACTCACTGACTGCTCTTCCAAAGGACCAGGCTTCAATCCCCAGCACCCACATGGCAGCTCACAGCTGTCTGTAACTCCAGTTCCAGGGGACCTGACACCCTCACAAAGAGATACATGCAGGCAAAACATCAATGCACATGAAATAAAATAATTTTTAAAAAGGACATAGATTATGGTTGTATAGCGTTTGCTTGTTTTTCTCAGTGACTCTCCCTGAGCCCCCAGTGAGCATCCAGACCTCAGAGGTTGACCACAGCCTCTCTTAATGGCTCAACCCTCAGATGATAGATCACTGGCTTTGCACTTAATTGGATGAAACTGAAAGTCTGTCAGATTGCAGGTGCCATAGTGTCCACTGTGCTAACAACATAACACCCCTCCCCCATTCCATATGAGAGTTGTTAGAGTCCATATCATACCGGTTCTTTTTGTGGTGACAATGGGTATGTATCAGAATGGACATTCATTTCCTACAACATTGGCACCAGTACAAAGTGTATGAATATACTGCCCATTCTATAATTACGTTGATGGTACGTAGTGCTATTGCAATAATGATTCTGTAACAAAAACAATGATCAAACAACTAGCTGATTAGATTGTTTAAATATTTAAAATGGATCTTAATTATTAATTACACAAATATAATTTATTAACTTGAAGATGCTTCTCCTTTTCATTGGAGACTCTGATAAGCAGATGGTGGCATTTCGCTGTGCTTTTCCTGTCCCTGTTGTTGTTTTTGTTTTGTTTTGTTTTTTCATGGTTCTGGGTTCACGTAGGTTAAGCAAACACTTTACTAGTGAGCTATACTCCCAGCCCTCACTGTGAACCTAATGCATTTTTCCTATTTCTCTATTGCTCTGTAGCATCTCTTTACATATCCTAGGTACCCTCCCGGAGTGTTTCCATTGAGCTATGGACATTAAGGTGTGATTTGGGTCGTGATGTCTGAGTAGAGCCTCGAAGAAGATGAACTCTTACTCGGTGGCATCTGGTAGTGGTGGGGAGAGCGCGCAGAGGCCAGCACCATTGCTAAAATCAATGCCAGGTAACCGGGGCATCAATTAACTCCATCCGAAGACTGTAGATGCTCTCCATCACAGGACATTTGTGGCATTTCCAAAAACATGTTGGAGAACGAATTGTATTTCTTCAGATTTTGATCCTCATGATTGATTGATGGGCCTGGCAAAACAAACAAACAAACAAATAAATAAATAAATAAATAAAGCTCTGGTATGGTTGAGGACTTGCTGAGAATATGAGCTCCACCAGCAGCTTGGCATTGTGTGGCTGTGCGTGGATATGTCTGATCTTCAGATATAGGTGGGTTTACAGAGAAGGGAAATGAGCCATGAGCCGTTCTCCCTTACAAGAAGGGCTTTGAGCGTAGCCTGAGTGAAGTCACTTTGTGAGAGCATTTCCCTGACTCTCGCCCCTGTGTGCACAACTCCTGGGCAGCCATCCCAGGGCTCCTTTCTTACAGGGACAGCCAAGGACGGGCAGCCTCTCCCTGAGTGGCACCTAGAAGGCCTCTCTCCAGGTGGAGGGGAGAACAGCTGGAAAGCAATGTCCTGAGTCCCACCGCGCCTTTGCCCCCTCCGACCTAGCGATGTCTGCCTGCTCCAGAGAGCCTGTGCCCGGCATCGCCTGTGATGACCCACGCTCACATTCCAAGAAAGATCTGATTTCATAGGGAGAAACGCTCAATGGAGGCAGCACAGAACCCCAAGCACCCCGCAGCCCTAGATATGAGACCATCAGGTGTCCTGCCTGCCCGGAGCAGCAGGCTATGACTTCTCAGTTCTACCCCCAGCCTGGCTTTGTTGTTGAGGTCAATCCTTGCACTGCCCCCAGGCTTCAGGCAGAGGGCGCCCACCTGAGTCTTCTTGCCTTGCCTTTCTGTCCTTGCCTCAAAGGATACAAGTGGCCTTAGCCAGTCTTAGACATCCCCGCGATGATCTCCTCACCGTCCCACAGCCTCGGTTTTAAGGTCCGGGAGCTAGTTCCCTTCAGGTTTTGTAGTTGTTTTTCTTTGTCTGCAACACTGTGCAATGTGCATCACGGGTTGCTGGGAGCCCACACGAGATGAGCACTCAGACACAGTTTAAGCCAACTGAAAGTCCTTATTCCAACCAGCTGGGACTACACTAGGGTATTTGGCTCCTAAACATAATCCTGAGTGTCCAGAGGACAGGTGTTTTGTTGTTGGTGGTGTTTGTATTTATTTGGGTTGGTTTTTTTGAGACAGGGTTTCTCTGTATAACCCTGACTGTCCTGGAACTCACTCTGTGGCCCAGGCTGGCCTTGACCTGGGAGATCCACTGCCTCTGCCCCCCCAGATTCTGGGATTAAAGGTATGTGCCATCACCGCCAGACTGAGGACAGGGTTTTTTAAGGTAAAAACTACATCCTGGTATCTCACTGGATGGCTGCAGGTAGCTTCTCAGAAACAAGCAGTTTAGCAAAAGCTAAGTTAGCTGGGGCATCTTGGCCTTGGGTCCTAGAAGAGAGGTGGGTAATCTTCCACAGGGTTCTCCATCAAGGAGACCAAGTCCTAGTTACCCTGAAGTGGCCTCAGCAAGAATACAAGGTGGAGGAGCCCCAGCCCTGCCTTGCCCTGCCACAGTCATCCACACAGTTTACGGATTTACAATTTCTCCGTCATTATTTATTTATTTAATTATTTACTGGGGGGGGTGTTTTGGTTTTGGTTTTTTTGGAGACAGGGTTTCTCTGTGTAGCCCTGGCTATCCTGGAACTCACTCTGTAGATCAGGCTGACTTCAAACTCAAAGATCCACCTGCCTCTGCCTACCAAGTGCTGGGACTAAAAGCATGCATCACCAACACCTTGTTTTCCTTCATTACTTAAAAAAAAAAAAAGTAGCATAAGTTTTACCTGTACCCAAAGCTGTCTGTGGAGCCCAAGTCCACTTCACCAATCCCCTTCCAAGGCCTCCTGGCCTTTCTGCCTCTCTCTTATCAAGCTACCCATCCTATTTGCCCTGTGGTCATAGCAAGTAGCAACCTGATGCTAGGTTAAGGCATTCAGAGTGTGCTAAGGGACCTTGGGCAACAGTCCAGACAGTCACCTCCCTTAGCCTTTTATAAACTTGGTCCTGGAAGGATCCCAGCAGCTTGCTCGATGGCTCTCTGTTCTCATTTGTCTTATCAGTTCCTTGTACCCCGCTGGGGGTTAACATAAAGCCCTGTGTCATCTTTTCCTGTGGGAAAACGCAGTCATTCTGTCCCCACAGCAACTGATTTAAAATCAAGAATGAACATCTTCAAGCAAAGTGACGGTCTGCGCTTGATCCTGGGGGCCTTCACCAGTAACTGGTTGAGGAGAGGGGAGAAGGACTCACGAAATCCAAAGAGGAACAACGCAGGGAGATCTCACATCACAGATGCTAGGACAGAATTTATTGTCACATCTTGCTGTTCAACTACAATAGCTCCCTGTCCCAGGAAAGCTTCCATGGATGGATCCCTGTGGGCATTCTGTAACATCCAGCACATCTCTAAAAGCTACAGACAGACAGACAGACAGACAGCCCCATCCTTTAGGGAGCACTTTGTGACAAACTCACCAGGACACACAGGATGGGGGTTAAGCTGGCAAAGGGACCACATCAGCCACCAAACTGTGCTGACCCTGGATGAGTGGCCTGAACTTGAGATTAGATTCCAGAGGCCAGTAGCAGGCTGGCACTGATAACTAGGACGTTCAGTGGTGACCGTTGTCTGCCTCCTGGACTGTCTTTGCTCATGAAGAGCCAGGCTCATGTGGGAATCAGTTTTCCCACAGTTGGTTGGTGAGGTTGGAACAGTCCATCTGCACCTCGGGTATGTGTGGTAAAGCCAGTGACCCAGGCCCTACACAGTTAGAGCCAAGCAACATTGCTGGATGGCAGCCGATTTCCATTTCGGCTGCAACTTGCCACATACTATGAATCTGGGGGAATCCACAGAATTCCTGAGGCCTCCCTTTCTTCTCGTCTACAAAATGAGATCTTGAGGACAAGGACAGAGCATGGCATGGCTGTAAAGTTCCTGAGATAAATGGAGGCAGAAAATGTTCTGATTTCTCTCATTTGATGACACACACAAAAAAAGAGCCCATTCCCTGGGAGCCAAGCTGACTCTGACATCATCCTGAGGAGCGACCTGGGTCACCTTAGTTTCTAATGACTTGGGGCTGGACATTTGGATCTTCCAAAATGACCCAAGTGTTTGAGGAAGGACAGTGCAGAGCGTGGCTGGGTTGGATTGGCACTAGAGCCATGCGTGCTGAGTTCTCCACAGAATGGCCTCACAGCCCTAAGGGCACTGCACTGCACCCAGCTTTACAGCTCTAAGATCCTGACAAGGGCCATCATGTGCCCCTGACAGCCTTGGGTGGAGCTGTCTGTCACCAGTCCCATTTCACAGAGAAGAAAACAAGAGTTGACCAAGGACTCCCCCAAAGCCACTTGGGAAGCCTCTCAGCTCCAGTTGCTTAAAGTTGGCGTTGTGCCTTTAAGTGCTAGTTCGGGCAATCTACAAAGTTTTCCTCCTCACTCACTCACTCACTCATTCATTCATTCATTCATTCACTTTCCTTGTTGGTTTGCTTGCAATGCTGGGATCTGAGCCCAGAGTCTCACACACTCTAGAGCTTACCTTATTTTAAATCTGTCCTGGCTACCTGAGTTCAACCCTGGAACCCACTTGGGGAAGGACGAGATTGACTCCCACTTTTTGACCTCCAGCACCCTTGTTAGGAGCAGGACAACATATATATACAAATAATAAACAAATAACATCAAATCCTGTTTGTTTAGTATTTCCTGCCCTCTAGTTGGTTTAACACACATTCTATAATTGTATCATCGGCATTCTGTCTTGTTTTGCTATTTTTCTGTGCTAGGGGATGCAGCCCAGGGCCTCTCACAAGACAGGCAAGCATGCTAAAGTAAGGTAGACCTCCAGTCCCTTCAAGTTCTGCTTTAAAAAGTTCTTAACTACCCTCCTGAGAGGCCACCAGCTTCCGCACTACCAGGGACTAGTTTTGCAGGTTTTTACTTTGTTTTGTTTTTTAAATAGCATGCAAATGGATCACCAGGCATCCTAGCATCCTATGGACTTTAAAACAAGGGCTGTGTCTTATGAGCCCCCAATGAAGCTGCCTGCTCAGAGCCCAACCTTCCTGTAGACATTAATCAATACCAATATCTGGAAAAACAAGGGACTGGAGAGATAGCTCAGCAGTTAAGAGCCATGGCTGCTCTTCCAGAGGACCTGGGTTCAATTCCCAACACCCACATGGTGGCTTACAACTGTAACTCCAGTTCCAGGGAATCTAACACTCTCACATAGACAGACACACTTGCAGGCAAAACACCAATGCACGTGAAATAAAAATAAATCATTAATAAATAAATAAATAAATAAAAGGCTGCTTCTGCCTGTGTCAGGATCCGGACTCTCCCGGGGACTGCCCTGGTCTTTACTGGGGACTGTGACCCATTCAGGTAGATATCTTTGGCCCTGACTTCTGGCTCTACAAGGCTTGTAGATGGTTCTCTTGAATATTAAAAATCCACACCAATGAAATTGACTAATCTGCCTGGCGTTGGTGGTGCACACCTTTAGTCCCAGCACTTGGGAGGCAGAGGCAGGAGGATCTCTGTGAGTTCTAGACCAACCTGGTCTACAAGAGCTAGTTCCAGGACAACCTTCAAAGCCACAGAAAAACCCTGCCTCGGACCCCCCCAAAAAAAATGACTAATCCTGGTTATTATAAAATGTAATCTTCTTGCCTTGGGAAATAATTCATTATCGAGTTTATGAAAATAACAGCAGTGAACTTCTATATTTTATAATGTGTGGTATAATTGAATTGAACCGATTTCAGAGACATACTCATACCCATATTAAGGCATACTTAACTGGACCATGTTTAAGTTTCCATTCATCTGTTCACTTATCCCTTTGTTTTTGAGATGGGGTTTCACTATGTAGCTCTGGCTGGCCTGGAACTCACAGAGATCCTCCTGCCTCTGCCTCCTGAGTCAGCACAAGAGAAGAAAGGCCTTTGTGAGCCTGGATGTGTGGTGGGCAAAGGTGGGGCGGGAGCTGGAAGTGTAGACTGTTCCCATTAAGGCTGGTTGTTGTGTGTTGTAATTACTTCTTGGACAGTATCCCCAGTAGGCGGACCTAACTGAAGGCAGGTGTGTCCTGAGGGTGTAAATGAGTATCTAAATGGGTGCTGACAGATGACTAATCGTGACTACCAAAGGAGGCTGGGAGGGAGGCGGGGAGTGACTCGCCTGATAACAACACTGATGTTGTTATCAGCGATGTTATCGAATGGGTACCTGGGCACATCGGTGAATACAGGGCCGCATTTACACCATCAGCTTACTCGGTCTATGTGGGAAACGAGGCTTTGCTAATGCAATGAGAGGGAAAGATAACTCTCCACACACAGAAGCCTCATGCGGGCACTGTGATGAGGGTTTAGCGTTAATTGCTTTGCAGACGCATGTAACTCACGTATGGAAAGACACATTGCGACTGTCGCCTTTTACCTGCTAGAGCGCATTAAATAATAAACAGTGACGGTGAGACTCGGAGTGAATTTGTGGCACTGGCTGGAAAGAATAGGACACCGGAGGCTGGTCACAGTGGCCATGGAGGTCAGCCTGTTCCAGTTCGCAGGGCTGCCTCAAGGCTGGGACTCCCGTTAGAAATGTCTCCTCCTCCGGTGCCTGTGAATTTTACCAAGGAGAGCAGCCCGGCTGTCACCCAGGAGACCGGCAGAGACTGGAAACCACGCCCTCTCCCATTGCGCTGGCAGCTGCGCTGCGCTCCTGACCTCGCAGGACTGCAAGCTAATCGGATCACATGATGGATGAGGGTGCTAGGGCGCCGGGACCCTTCAGATGCGCAATGACTTAGCTGCCCGGGCTTCTGCCTCTGTGAGGGGCCTGTGTACGCTGTGGCGCACCCCCACCCTCCCCCCATGAAAGGGCTGAGAGTGCTTTCGTTTCTAAAGTCGCACTAAGAAGGCCTCCGCCGGGATCGTGACCTTGCACGGGGCCCTTTGCTGGGTGAAGCGACAACCTCTGATTTTGATCACTTTTATATTTTTAATCGTGTTCCCAAAGATCCTGCAGGTTAGCGTGGATTTTGAGACAGTCTTAAATGAAGACCAAGACTTGACCTCCCAGTTCAACTTTGCTAATTAGAATTTAAAAATAAGAACAGTGTGGCGGGACAATAGGGGTCCCGGCCATTCGTGATGGGCCAAATCTTCATTCTACGGCTCCGGCAACAGCCGCGCCTTTCTTTGTCCCACTGTGCGCCAGTTGGCTCGGTGGCTCCAGAGGGAGGGCTCCAGCTGTATGCAAAGCGCGGAGCGCGCTGGAGGCTGCGAAGAGGAAGGGAGCCGGGTGCAGCAATGGATTTCCATATCAATAGGCCTCTCTCTCTCTCTCTCTCTCTCTCTCTCTCTCTCTCTCTCTTACTCAGGATGGCCTCCAACTTACTAGCTAAGGTTGACCTTGAACTTCCTCCCCTCCCCTCCACCTCCCAGACGCCGAGAGTACAGGCTGGGGTCATCACTCCCGGTTTTGGATGGCCTTAGAAGGAACTTGAAAGAATGGCAGGGCTGATCCCATGATGTCTGAAGTGGGGCCTCCCGATAGAGGTGATGTGACTTGTGTAGGACCCATGGATACTCAAAAGCAGAGTGGGAGCACTCTTCAGAGACTCCCAAAAAGTGTTGGCACCCATACCTGCAGCCCGGTGAGCAGGACTGGGGAGAGCAGGGCGCTCAGAGCACGTGTGGACCGAGGCTCCCTAGGCTCGCTTGCTTCCGCTCTTCGCTGGCTCTCAAGCTCTCCCTCTGTGGTCTGCCCTCTAGGAGTATGGGTTGGGCAGTTGATCCTTGTCAGGGAAGGGGATCATCCCATCCCTGTGCCCTCTGATGAAGCGGCAGTAGATTAGCAGGAGAAAAGGCACACACAATGACAGTGAGTACCCTGAGGCCCCTCTTTGGAGGGGACAAGAAGGTGCAAGTGACGTAGAGGGGAAGTGAATGAGCCCCGAGTTCCAGTGTATACAACTTAAAGACACATCTGTAACAAGCTTTAAATACTGGCCAGCTTGATGGATTCTGGCCAGGTCCATCTCTGGACTCCCAGAACACCTTGCAGAGACTTACTAAAGGCAAATCCATAAGGCCACCATATTTCCCACCCCGTCCCATCACGGGCAAGCGTATGTCCTGATGTGTTTCCTGCCCACGGGTGATCAAGCGCATCTGGTGCAGAGAGGTCAAACAAACAGGACAAACAGAAACTCATTCTTGACTCTTAACTGCAACAGGACTCTCAACCTGCAAGGGGTATCTTTTGTGTTTTGGTCTCACAAGGACAGAGTGAAAGGTTCAGGCATTATGCTGGCCTGCCCCCGTCACCTGGCAGAATGCACTCAGGCAGTACCCTGGTCAGCCCAGGGTTCCATGACTGAGTAGTCTGCACGCAGGTGTAAAGGACCCCTTTAAAAGACAGATCCCGGCCCACTTACGTGGTCTTTGCTCTCTTACCCTCTTCATCTCTTCTCATCTCGCCCCCTCACCAGTTCCCACACACACACTTTAATAAACTCTGTGATTAATGTACTCTCTATGGTTCGTGTCACATCGCGCAGGTTCCATCTCCATAGCGCGCTTTCTTTCTAACTTAAACAAAAGAGCAACACAGAGAGTAGCTTTCTCTCGAGAAGACTAACAAAGTGAGTTGCAGGACAGCCAGGGCTGTTACACACAGAAACCCTATCTCAAAACAAACAAAAAATAATAACGACCACTCCCCCCATAGGCTCATCTATTTAAATGCTTGGCCCTCAGTTGGAGGAACTACTGAGGGAAAACTGCTCATGCTTGGGGATCAGGTGTAAGTTCTTCCTCACTGCTCTGGTGCCTGGCCTGCCTGCCTGCCTGCTGTCATAGTCTCCAGGTCCCCACCAGCCATCATGGTTATGGGCTCCTCAGATTTAATTTGTTTTTATTTCATTTATCTGTCTTGATTTGGGTTTTTATTGGTGTGAAGAGACACCACGACCATGGCAACTCTTATAGAGAAAACATTTAATTGAGGGAGGCTCACCTACAGTTTCAGAGGTTCAGTCCGTTATCATCATGACAGGGAGCATGGCAGCTGCAGGCAGATGTGGTGCTGGAGCTGAGAGAGCTGCATCCTGTAGGCAACAGGAAGTCAACTAAGACACTGGGCAGAATGCTGAGCGTAGGAAACCTCAAAGCCCGCCCCACAGTGACGCACTTCCTCCAATATGGCCACACCCACTCCAACAAAACCACATCTCCTAATAGTGCCACTCCCTGTGACATTACATTCAAACTACCACATTATCTATAATTATTTATTTTATTGGTTTATTTATTGGTTGGGGTGGGGGTGGGGTCAAGGTTTCTCTGTGTAGCCCTGGCTGTCCTGGAACTTGCTTTGTAGACCAGGCTGGCCTTGAACTCAGAGATCCACCAGCCTCTGCCTCCCGAGTGCCGGGACTGAAGGTGTGTGCCATCACTAAGGCATGCTGCACCACCACCGCCCGGCTTCTTTTATTCTTTCTTTTGGTCATGATGTTTTGCCACAGCAGTAGAAAAGTAACTAAACAGGTGGTAAGCGGGACCTGGGGAGACAGTGCAAGCCAGATTCAAACAGAAGAGTCAGAAGTTCCCCCTGCTGTTGACAGAGTTCAAAGCCAATCTAATCCACTTGAGACCCTGTCTCAAACAAACAAGCAACAAAAGTGGCCTCACGGTTGGAGACATGGCCTGGTGGTTAAGAACACTGGCTGCTCTTCCAAAGGACCAGGGTTGGATTTCCAGCAATCACATGGTGGCTCACAACGTCTAGAACTCCACGCTTAGTGATCCCAGCCATTCTCTGGCACACATGTGGTCAGCAGACACTTGCAGTCAAAACACTCACAGATTTTTAAAAAGTGACGTCTATTGTCTGACAGTCCCAGAAATATTGACAAGATGTAAACTCAAACAAACAAAGGGGAGGAGAAAACAGTTCTGAGGGAAGAGGGGAGGGAAATGAAGGGCACTTGCTTGGACAAAGGCCAACTTGAATGTGACTCTATTCTAGACACCTCAAGTCACTGTCTCTGCTGGGATTACAAACCTGTCTTTGTTCACAGTTTGACACGAAACACATGTATTCAAGCGTTTAGATTCCAGCCAGTGATGTGGGTTAGGCCCTTAGGGTGAAGGTACAACCTCACACATCCATGATTTTTCTCTCACCGTGTTTTTGTACAAAGTGAATCTTTAATGAAACGGTCACCCTTGTGCAGTGTGGAGATGGACATGTGCCCCAGTGTCCTGAGGCTCAGCTCTGTGAGGCAGAGAGGTGAGTCTGTGGCTGTGCAGCCCGGGATTGCTCACAAGGGACCTGCTGCTGAGGGTGGACTCCTGAAGGTGTCAGCCAGAGACCTCCACCCAAGTCCCTAAGCTACCGGTGTTGCAAGAAGAAGAATGAGGTGGGAGAGTGACAAAGACCCTAACTTTAGTTAGGGATCCTGAATGTTTTCTGGGCCCTTCCACATGCTTCCTTGTAATGTCTGGTGTCAGCAAGAATCCTACGCTAGTCAACTAGCCTTGTCCCTGAGACGGATCGCGTCTCATTGTCCACTGTCCTCCTGATCTTGTCTGAACCTAACCTATTCAAAAGTCCTCTTACGTTGGTGCAGCCAGAGTCCCTGACATCCTGGCTCTAGTCCATTGTTCTGACTGTATTGAAAGACCTGTAGTAGGTGGGTTTACAAAGAGAAGAGGTTTGTGTAACTCAAGGTTCTGGAGGTTCAAGAGCATTCATTGGCTCAGCCGTGTTGAGGGTTGTACTGGGTGGTTTTGTATGTCAACTTGACACAAGCTAGAGTCACCAGAGAGGAAGGAGCCTCAGCCGAGGAAATGCCTCCATGAGATCCAGCCATAAGACGGTTTCTCAATTAGTGACTGCAAGCGTCTGCCTCACAGCCCATGGTGGGTGGGGCCATCCCTGGGCTGCTGGTCCTGGGTTCTGTAAGAAAGCAGGCTGAGCAAGTCATGAGGAGCAAGCAGTAAGCAGCACCCTCCATGGCCTCTGCATCAGCTCCTGCTTCAGGGATCCTGCCCTGTTTGAGTTTCTGTCCTGACTCTCTTCAGTGATGAACAGCAATGCTAAACAAAGTGTAAGGTAAATCAACCCTTTCCTCCCCAACTCGAACCTTTGATCATGGTGATTCGTCACAGAAATAGAAACCCTAAGACAAGGGTCTAATGGCAGATGCACTGTGGGAGACATAGACCATGTGCTGAGGCGGGGCAGAGATCAAGGACTGAACTTGATCTCATAACTGTTGTTCTTTTGTTTAAGTTTAACAGGACACACTAGATGGGTCAGGAACACGAGAGATACATTAACCACAGAGTTTATTACAGGTGGGGGAGGGGAGAGCACGAGAGGGAGAGATAAGAGACGAAAAGGGTAAGAGGAACAGAGGGAGCAAAGAGGAAGAGGAAGGTGAGCATAAATGGGTGGGGTCTGTCTCTTAAGGTGTCCTTTGCACCTGCGGGCAGACTGGCTCTCATGGAACCCTGGGCTAACCAGAGTGCTGCCTGAGTGCATTCTGCCAGGTGACAGGGCCAGCGTAATGCCTGAACCTTTCAATAACATCTTGCAATTCCAGGAGCTAAGCATACCACAGAAGCTGTCTTTATCCCTTCTGTGCGCTGGCTCAACCCCGGTGATCTGATGACCTCTCATTATGACCTCAGTAGGAACCTAACCTCCGGCACTTGAGCCTCCAACCACCAAACAGTGCTGTATTCATTGCAATGCTATTGCAGCGCTAGTTCCTTTTCTGTTGCTGTGATAAACACCATGACCAAGGCAACTTATAGAGGGAAGGGTTGATGTGGGGCCGACGGTTTCAGAGAGAAGATGGAGACACAGAAGTAGCTGGAGGCAGGCGGCTGGAGCATCAGACGAGAGCTCACATCTTAAGTAGGAGGCAGAGTGCACTTGGGATGGCAGGAGGAGTTTGAAGCCTTAAAGCCTCTCCCTCTCACCCTATGGCACGCCTCCTCCAATAAGGCCACGCCCCCAATCCTTCCCAATTAGTTCCATCAACTGAGAACCAGGTATGCAAACATATGAGCGTATAGTGGCCATTCTCATTCAAAACATCACGCATGTCTAAACCATAGCACCATCGAACCCCATGCTTCTTTTGGTGGTTTTCCATCTGCTGCCAACGTCCCCATGCCCTTTGTCTTTGTCCACTTGCCCAGGCTGTGTGTGGAGTTGAGCCAATCCTCCCTCCCATGCTGTACACCTATCACAATCACAATGGCCCCAGACGAGGCCTTCCTGCCCGTGACTTGACCCGTGCAGCTGAATGCTTTTTGTCTTTAACAGTTCCTGTGCATCAGGAATCCACTGTGTGATTTGTAAAGTCCTCAGTGTCTTATACATGTGGTCCTGTGTATATGACAAAGGTTGAAAGGCACATGGCTGTCACTGCCTCCCTTCCAGATGCCTTTGTAAGGAGGCTGTGCTAGCCATGGGCTCCTTCCTCTTCTCCTTGGCGGGGGGAGAGGCAGATAATTGGCCCAAGCTGGGTCCATCAATTTTCTTCTCCCAAGAGTTTTGGGACATAGTGACTGGGAAAAGGAGACAGTGAGAGCTGCCATGTCCTATGTGCCTATAGCTCAGACTTTTACTGAAGGTGGCCAAAGCCAGTGACAGAAATGGCAGAAGAGAAGTCAGTGTGTCCAGATACAGTTTGCAGGGAGAGGCAGAGGCGGGCAAGTCAGAAGACAGTCTGGTTTCCAGTCCAGGAATCCAGAAATATCTTTACCCCGTACAAGCCAGAGAACTGTTTATCCTTAGAACAACCATCTTTCAAATAATAGAAACTCAAGAGACCTTGTGTTCCGCTGTAAAAGATGGTGTGACCTAAATCTAATCTGGAACAGAGTGTAGGTCTGTGAGATATGACTCCCAGGGTTCTTCTGGGAAGAGTTGAACTTCTTTTTGTTTTTCAGACGGGGTCTCATGTAGGTGGTGACTCCCTAGGCAGGGGAGGGTGACCTTGAACTTCTGATCTTCCAGCCTCCACCCTCCAAGTGCTAGAATTACAGACCTGAGCAGCCACACCCAGCACAAAGAACTGGGCTTTGTTCCTTCATTTGTTTTTTTGTAGCACTGGGGACTGAATCTCAAATTAAAACATTCTTGATTTTAAAACAGATTTAGAGGTAAACTTTAATGAGATAAAGACTCATCCTTCACCCAGCCAAGTAGCACAAGGCTGATCTGTAACACCTGCTTCTCTGATTGCACCTGGTCCCTGTCACCTAATGACTGTTTTATCCCCCCCTTCCCGCCCCCCCCCCAGTATAATGTCCCATTAAGGGTAAATGGCATTGCTGTTCCAGAGGCCTTTCTGTGTGGATGAAGAGTCTACTAAACCTCACTCTGAAATGGTCTTCAGTGCTGGCTTCCTATGCCAGTCATGATCTGAGGTTGCTACACTGTAGACTTCAGCAGCATGGTAACCTTACTAGAAATGCAAACTATACTCTGTTCCAGATTAGATTTAGGTCACACCATTTTTTACAGCGGAACACAAGGTCTCTTGAGTTTCTATTATTTGAAAGATGGTTGTGTTCACCCAGACTCACTGACTAGGGAAGTCTTGCGGGTGAGCCTGCTGCAACACTCTGGGCACCAGGTGATACGGACAAGCTCAATTTAAGGACCCCTGTCTTGAGGACACAGGAACTCACCGAGTGTCAACCACTAAGGCTTGTGTGGAAGTGAAGGGAACACTTCTGGTCTATAGTTTTCTTGGTTCAAAATGGCATTGTTCAAATAAACATATCATCACAATGACCGAAGTTTAGACAGTGACCCAAAGCAAAGTTCATTTGTTTATTGTTTCCACATCAAACTGTAGAGTCCTGTTCAGGGAGCAGAAACAGTCATGGCTCACCCTGTGTCTATAACCACAACCTACCGACCAGCCCCAGCCTTCCCGTCCAGGAGGAAGCTAATGAGAGTTTTCTTCAGAGGCAACAAGCATTTTCAAGCAAGTCAGCAAAATTTTATTTATGTGCTTGTGGTTTTCAGCCATACAGGCAGGTCTCCCCACTGACACAGTAAGCTTGGAACAATGGCATG